CGCTAAACACGAGAGAGCTGCGACCTTTGGAGAAACCAAAGATGGCTCAAATGACTTGTGAGGATAAATTAAGTCAGTGTTCTTTGCTAACAAGTTGACGTTTCCTAATTGTAAAGCAGAACCAGCAACCACCAACAGAGAAGGTGTGTATTCCACAGACAGAGAAGAGATAGAGCCCTGAAACTCAGCCTAAGAGACCTCTCAGCCCTGGGGTGCAGGGCCAATGGAACTCCTCCAGGGTCAGCAATGCAAGTTCTCATCACCCAACCAGCTTCAGAGCAGCTAGCTTTTTAAGCTCTAGAGGACTGGGAACTCTCTTCCAAGCCTGAAATCCGAGGGAAAGGGCACACAGGGAGGGGTGTGGTCCCCATGGCAAGTGGAGTGTACATTGTTGCCCCAGGAGAGGCCACTTCCCTCCCAAGTTGCCTGGGACTTCCCACCTCCTGAGGGGAAGGTAGCTGAGCACATAGCAAAACAATGAGGGCACAGAACAGTTGACCTGCCCGCACAGTTCTGAATGAGAAATCCGTCAGAGCAGATGTGCCCCTCCCTGGCACTGGGAGATCTTCACCCTTAGCAAAGCTGAGGCCAGACCAAGAAGTCACCAGGAGCTACAAGTGGACATCAGAGGTGAGGTTGTGGGGGCCAGGACTGAGACGGGCCCTGCTTAGAACTGTCCAGAGTTTTGGTCTCCAAAACTGGCTGTCCTCCAATATCAGACAGTCCTCCAATATCAGGCAGTCTTTTCCAAGTAGACCTAACACATGTCCCAAATATTTTCTCTCCAGGTAATGCCACTGCTTTTCTCAAAGCAGAGACATTTCCCAGAGCCTTAAAGTCCTGGTATCTGCTCTGGGAGTTGCAGCCCCAGAAGAAGATGTCAAATAACCCACTGTTTCAGTTACAAACTTCTTATGACTTAGTTACAAGTGAAACAACATCTGACAGCAACTCCAAGTCCCCTACTGCCCTGTGACTTCTCCTTTTGTTCTTGGGATACCCCCTCCTGCTAAATTATAGACCCATCCTCCTTAATAAAGACAAAGAGCCCAATGCCACATTTTAACTGAAATGTGGGAAACACCTCCTGAGAGCTTAAGACCAAATGCAAGCTACTTTTATTTATTTATTATTTTTTTAAATATATTTTATTGATTTTTTACAGAGAGGAAGGGAGAGGCATAGAGAGTTAGAAACATCGATGAGAGAGAAACGCCGATCAGCTGCCTCCTGCACATCCCCTATTGGGGATGTGCCCGCAACCAAGTTACATGCCCTTGACCGGAATCGAACCTGGAACCTTTCAGTCCGCAGGCTGACGCTCTATCCACTGAGCCAAACCGGTTTCGGCTGCAAGCTACTTTTCCCCTTTCAACTCGAATGCATTGATGGATGCTCTGAACTGGACTCCACCGACATGTAGGAAAGCAATCATGGAAGTAATTTCGAGGGCATAGGCAGGACCAGCCAGCCCTAAACACAGTGGTCAAGGAAGCAAAGCTACCTCAGGTTCCCTTCTTCCTCCCCACACATTCCCATTTGTCCTGCCTCTTTTGGTCTCAGCTAGCAGCCACTTCAAATCCAGCCATTGAGGTTATCAGTTAGTAAATGCTAACAGCACCACCTTTCCTGGATGCCAAGAGCTCAGACCTGAGATTAGGTCTGGCCCCCTTGGTCATTTGTACATATTAAAATATGAGGGATGAGCTCTCTGAGTGGAAAATCCATTGACATCCAAAGAAAGGAGGCTATCATGGTGGCGCTATGGATGTTGCATTAATACATAGGAGCACAGGGGAGATCATTTCTCCCACAAGCAAAGACCTAGGATCTAGCGTATGCAAGGTGGAAGACAGTGTTCCCCAGCCTCCCACCCCCCATGTGTGTGTTCCCAGCCCCACACAGCTGTACCTTTCCTGGAAGCCAAGAACACAGACTTGAGAACAGGTCTGGCTTTCTTGCCGCCTAAGGTCCACTCTCAGGATTTTGAATAATGAAAATCACTGTGGACAGGGAAGGCTGCAGGCTTCTGTCATAAAAACGTTTTGTGGAAAGCCTTGGAAATGGCATGCAGCATAAGACACAAGCTGGGCTCATTATTTAAATTGGGAAACTAGCCTGGCCGATGTAGCTCAGTGGTTGAATATCGACCCAGGAACCAAGAGACCACTAGGTTTGATTCCTGGTCAGCGTACATGCCTGGGTTATGAGCTCAATCCCCTGTGGGGAGGCGTGCAGGAGGCAGCCGATGATGATGTTTCTCTCTATACCTCTCTTAAAAATCAATAAAAACATATATTTAGTAAATAAATTAGGAAACCAGGTTTGGGATCCTACTGTTCTAAAAAAAAAGGGGGGGGGGGCGAGGGGGAAGGAATCACTTTTTTTCTTTCATTATACACTTTTGTCATAAGGTATTTTCAACAAAACATAGAACCTTATTTCTTGAGAGGGAAAATGACTGGGTGACCGGCTGGTGGCTGACACAGTGGTCTGGCTCATAGATAGTTTCCTCACCAGCAAGACACGGCAGAGCTCAGCTGGAGGAGTTCTCCCAGGCAGAGACCCAGAGCCAAGGAATGTTGCAAAGAGTCAGTGTTTACTGAGGGATTACCGTACACCAGGGATTTTAAACACTTCGTCTCATTCAGTCTTCACAACAGTAATATGGGAAGAATTGTTATTCCCCAAATTTTATTTTATTTATTTTTGTTTTGTTTTTTTATATTTTTATTGATTTCAGAGAGGGAGAGAAAGAGGGAGAAAGAAACATCAATGATGAGAGAGAATCATTGATTGGCTGCCTCCTGCAGGCCCCCTAGAGGAGTTCAAGCCTGTGTGCCCTCCCATAGGGATTGCCTAGGTGACACCCAAACAAGAGGAAAGTACAGTATGTGTATACTTGTGTATGACCATGTGTACATATTATACAAACCAATAATGAAAATACAGAGGTGAGTACCTGAGTATCTGAGAGAGCCTCACCCAGGTTAGGGTAGCAGAGGATTTAGTTGAAAATTCTGCGGACCAGGTACTGCCTCTGGGGAGAGAAGCTGGAAAGGAAGGAGACTTACTTTTCCTTATATACTCTGATGTCTTATTTAAATATTTTATCATGCACATGTACTTCCTATTTTCAAAACTTTCATTAAAAAGAAAAATCTGTGTTGTTGTAGAGTTAATAAGTGTCTGAAATTTACTGAATCACATTTTCTAAAAAAAAAAAAAAAAAAAAGCACAGGTGAGGAAAAAGGCAATCCCACACAAGAGACCTATCACATGCATCACAGGGGAGCCAGGACAGGTGGCTTCCTTCCGTGCAGGAGTGAGGACTCAGCTGAGGATGTCTGAATTGCTCAAGACCTAAGAGCACTAAAAAGGAAACCATTTAACCATCCTCTCCCATTTTCATTTTCGAACTAACACCACTGCTGCCGCCACGTAGAAAGTCAGTGAAAGAATGGATGACCTCACTTTCTCCAACAGGTGGGTCCTGTAGTGTTGTGCGCAAAACAAAACTCAGTAAATCGACGCATATTTTTAATACCATAGCAGAGTTCCTTGTCTTAGCATTCCAGGCGCTATCCTCTTTGCAAAGCAAAGAAGCCAATTTCGTGATAACGCTGTTTTGTAAATAAATTTGAGGGGTTTTGTGTGTGTTGTGTGTGTGTGTGTGTGTGTGTGTGTGTGTTCTATTAGGGTCCTAATTTTAGCCTGGAGCCAATCATCTGAGCTGTCTGGGTGTCTAAGAGACCAGTGGGACGGCCTGGTCACGAGCCTATTTGCATGAGACCAAGGACTTTCCTACAAGAGACATCGTCATTGTAAGGGCTGAGAAAGCCTGGTCAAGCTCGGCCAATGAGAAAGGCTGGGGCACTAGAGGAGAACCGTGATCAGAGCCTAGAGTGGAGCCTGTTTGATTGCTTCCCAGCCGCCTGTGGACTCAAATCAAGTAAAACAGCAGAAGGAAGCTATGAACACAAGCTCCAGAAAATGCCACAAGGTACTCCTTTGACATCCCATCAAAGAGGTGAGTAGTATTTGCCCCACTTTTTCCTGAACCAAGTGGGTGTCACTAACTTGCGAGCTCCAGCAGACCCAGCACCCACCCAGGCTCCTTGGGGCTCCTCTGCGGGAGTGGGATCACCCCACTGCCAGCAGCAGGACAGCACAGCAGCCCAAGACAACCCTCTTGGCAGAGAAATCAAAGTCTTCACCAGCAGAGTCCTAAGGGGCCACTAGGGAGAGAGCTGGGCTGTAGCTGACCAGGCTGAAGTGAATTGGAGCAGGTGAGGAAGAAACTTATAAATGGTGGCAACAAAGTCATTTTTGTAGGCTACACATATTGCACCTGGAGACTCTCGGAAATTAACTGCACAAGATTTGGGGGCAGGCAGGTATTTCAGCAACAGCTGGTCATGGCAAGGGCCAGGAAAGAAAAGTACTGCCGATGGCTCACCGCGTTATTAGGCTGGTGGGCTGTCGGGGGCTGAGGTTTTTACAAATATGAAGGGAAAAAAACTAGACAACTAAATCTTAGACTGTTAATCTGATAAAGTTTTTTTAAAGTCATAGTCAGCCTTAGCTTCTTCAGATCCTCTAAAACTTTGTAGATGACTTTAGCTTTACTTTCCTTCTCAAGGCATGCCAAAGTGCTGAGTCACTAAAAAAAAAAAAAAAAAAAAAAGTAGAGGAAGAGGGATTTTGCTTCTAGGGCTCCTTGGTAATGACCTAAGCGGCGCATTTCCCTCTGATTATGATTCTATGATGCTAAAGAACGTCACATTGCACAATCTTAATAAGGTTTCCAATCAGCCCCACCCACCCTGGCCCCACCCCCACCCTTCAACAAAGATTTATCAAATGTGGGATTTTCCCATGAGTCTCAATATTAGAGTCTCAACCCTCAATAAATATGAGGCTGAGGATGTCTGAGGCTCATTCTGTCCTCGAGCCCACCGGGAAGAAAAGAGAGCTCCATCTCCCTCTAGGAGCCAGCTATGATCTCCCTCTACACAAGTAAGTGAAGGAAATCCCTAGCCTGGGAGGCCGTGCCTGGGTGAGAGAGAGGGTGTGCGCTGTGGGGGCTGGCGGACAGCCAGCAGCCAGCAGCCAGAGGCACAGCTTCCCCAGCTGTGCAGGCTGCTCACTGCTGCTCTCCCTTCCCTCCGGCACAGACACCTTCAGTCCAGTGGCCTTCTCCCTGGGGCTGCTCCTGGTGATGGCTACTGCTTTCCCTACCCCGGTTCCTCGGGGAGAAGATTCTAACAATGATACCACCTCATATAGACCACCACTCACCTCTTCAGAACAAATTGAAAAACTCATTAAGTCCATCCTCCTCGAAATCTCTGACGTGAAAAATAAGGTGGGTAAGCTCAATGGAGGGTGATGGAAGGCCTGTGTGGGCATGCCTCTACTTGCCCCTGGATGGGGACAGGGTTCCTGCATTGGGAGGTCTCTGATGGTTCTTCTGGGGAAGTTTAGATTTGAGCTCAAAGAAATAGACTGTCTTATGTATTTCTCCTCTGCTGCTGGTCTCAGGGTATCCCTTTTCCTCGTGGAAAATACAGAATGGGGCTGGAATCCATGTACCCTGGCCCATTCTTCACTCTATACTTGACATGAGCTGAGAGTCACTGTTTCTTAGGACTTCCTTTTCCCTAACCAAAAAATAAGGTCTGTAGATCTTTTTTTGTGTCTGTTGGATTTTGGGAGGATTAGGAAAGTGGCACCTGAAATGAATGTTCAGTTTTTCAGGACAGTCACAGAACTTTTAAGTTATACAAGTGTGGTGGTTAGGAATTCCTCAAAATCATTCCAGCTTATATACTGCAAGCTCGATAGCCCATCAAAGTGGCAAAATTATAGGAGGTAAAAACATTTCCTAAGCTTTAAATGCAAGGTAGATTGACTCTGTTTTGTAGAAAGAAAAGAACACAGGAAAGGGGATTTGGGCACCCCAAATCTCCTCTGGTTCTGCTGAACCAGCTTTGTGATCTTGGGCAAATTTGCTACCACCTCTGGGCTCCACCTGTAAAACTGGGATAGAACTAGATTATCTTACAGTTTCTTTCAACTGGAATAGTCTATGGCTCAAATGATATTCACACAATTATTTTCAAAATGTATTAAGTATGTAGTATGTGCCAAGTACTTTTTATAACGATTATGTCTCATCCTCATAACAAACTTATGAGGAGGTGCTTCATTATCCCCAATTTGGAGAGAGGGGCACTGAGACTCAGGACAGTGAGACAAGCCTGAAGTCACAAGTGAGTCTGGAATTGAACCCAACTGTGCCCATCCTCCACCAGATCTTGCTTGCCCTGATGCTAATGGGTTCTGACTTCATTTTTCTTACCAGAACTTCCTGGCCATGGTGGAGCAGGACGAGGCCCTCTAGTGGTGTTTGTGATAGGGGCACTTATCTGACAACAATTTTGGTATTTCTTCCCAGATGTGTGACAACCATGAATCGTGTAAAAACAGCAAGGAGGTACTGACAGAAAACAACCTGAACCTTCCAAAACTGGCCAGAAAAGATGGATGCTTCCATTCTGGATTTAATCAGGTACTCACACGTCGTATTCACTGTTAGCTGTTCCTGAGTTCTCCACTTTGCTTATAGGGTCTGTGTACACATAGACCAGGCAGGCAGCAAAGAAAGCAATAGATGCAAAGGATATTGTGTAAATTTCATGAGGAGGCCAACATAAATCTTTGTAAAGGCAACTTATTTTTGAATGGCATGGTCAGAGATAGCCAATCTCCCTTGGGATTTCCACAGTGGTCATATGTTAGAAACCCCAGCAGGTTTAGCTGGTTTATCCTGTATGAGGTGGTGGTTCAGTGACCTTTCTCCTCCTTGGCTGCCCTTAATGTTGTCCTTCCTGCTGAGGTTATTCTCTACACCTTTCTCCTTCTAGGCAGTGAGATAACCTGTGCTGACTTCTGATTATTCCATAAAAGGTTTTAGCCCAACATTGACAAGGCCAGGAGTGCAGCCAGAGGCAAAAGCATTAAAGGAAAAATAGAAAAGGACCCCCTTGCCACATTCTAGCCTTCATTGGGCTTTGAGTAAAATCAAATGGTGTTTCTGATTGCCCAGATACTTAAAATGGGGCAGCTGATGCTGTCTGATGTCTCAAAGCATGATACCTAAGAAGTATGGGAAATTCCCAGGTGTGGTAGTGAGGGGTGAGAATGGTTAGAGGGAAAAGTTAAATTATAGCAATTTTGTTTTAAATATTTTCTTTTATTTTTAAAAAATACATTTTTATTGATTTCAGAGATGAAGGGAGAGGGAGAGAGAGATAGAAATATCAATGATAAGAAAGAATCAGACTGGCTGCCTCCTGCACACCCCACCCTGGGGATCAAGCCTACAACCTGGGCATGTGTCCTAACCAGGAATCAAACCATGATCTCCTGGTTAATAGGTTGATGCTCAACCACTGAACTATGCCAGCCAACAAATTATAGCAATTTTAACTTTTAAAATTCATTATATCTTCCTGGCAATAACCAATTTTCCCACCATCTTTCCTTGTAGGAGACCTGCTTGATAAGACTCACCACTGGTCTTCTGGAGTATCAGGTATACCTTGAGTACCTCCAGAACACATTTGAGGAACATGCCAAGGCCATGCAGATGAGAACAAAAGCCCTGGTCAAGATCCTGAGGCAAAAGGTGAGTGTCGCCTTGTCTCCTCACTTGGTGTGTCCAATACAGTCTCAAAGAAAGCAACCCAGACAATTTGGGAATGTAAAGCCAATTCAGAAGACATAGTTGCATGTAAAAGAAAGAAACTGAGAAGTATTTCCTGATAGTTAGAACTGTTTTTATGTGTGTATGTTGGGGCGGAAGGGGGGGGGTGTTAGATCTCTTCTGAAAAAGATATCAATAACTATATTTAAAACTATGTTAAGTTAGGTAGATTTTGACATCAACTTCTAATAGCTTAAGAAATAAGGGGGGAAAAGTATCTGTAGAGGCAGAAGGAAGCACATACAACCCTGCTCAGTGATCCATAATCACCAAGAACAGAGAGCACAAAAATTATTTTAATATTTTAAGTATCGCCAAGAGACATTCTTATCATTATGGTAGCAATTCCTTTTTCCTACTTTTTGCAAGAAGAGTTAATACAGAGAATTGGCTAAAGACTGGAAGAACAGGTACGGGTCTTTGGTACTACCAGCTGGCCATTCAACTGCCACATGCTGGAGACGTGATGGCACAGTGTATAGATGAGCCAAACAGAGTGCAATGAAAAGTTCCTCTATGGAGAAGCCTATCAGTACTAATCCTGCCTTCTGCCTTAAGTCCAGGCATCTCCCACTTAATGTGCACACAAATTCCCTGGGGGTCTGTTCCCATGCAGAGCTTGATTCAGCAGATCTGGGGTGAGACCTGAGACTTGCATCTAACAAGCTCCAGTGATGCCATTGCTGTAGTGCCATGCCTGGAGGTGTCCCTTGTCAGTGGGACTATGGAAAGGTGTTTCCCAGTCTCCTACACCACTAGATCAGTGGACTCTCAACAGATCTGAATAGATGGGTGAGAGAAACTGGAGGGAAATATTAGTGTTAGAGGCCACTCAAGAGCCATTGCAATGCCTCTAACTATAGGTTCTTCATTTAAATATTGAATTCCAACCATGTGCCAGGCACTGGTTAAAACATCAGAGGACAAGTAAGACACTGTGGCTGCCCTTAGGATGCTTATGATCTAAAGGAGTCAGAGCAGCAAAGGGATGCTTAGAACTCAGTTGCTATGAACAGGTGGACTCGGAGGAAAAGCACCTCACCCTGCAAGGCAGGGTAGGGAGCCCCAATTAGTCTTCTTCCCTCCAAATCTGAACATCTCCCCACAGCTCAGAGCATCTTTTCACTGAAAGGGATTTGTTCAATATTTAAACAATTCTTCTTGCTTTATTTCCCTTCAGATAAAGAATCCCGTTGAAGAAACTATCCCTGACCCAACCACAAACACCGGCCTGCTGGAGAAGATGCATGCACAGAATGAGTGGCTGAAGACCACGACGATTCACCTCATCCTGCGAAGCCTCGAGGACTTCCTGCAGTTCACTCAGAGGGCTATCCGGATGTAGCCTGGGCATCTAAAATGGTTGCAACTCATGGACATTCCTTTCTCTGGTCAGAAAGCTGTCACTGGGTACATAACTTATGTTGTTCTCTATGAAGAACTAAAAGTATGAGCAATAGGACACTATTTTTAATATTTTTAATTTATTTATATTTAAATATGTGATATTGAGTTAATTTATACAAGTGATATTTATATTTTTATGAAGTGCCACTTGAAATACTTTGTGTGTTCATTTTTAAAAAAATAACAGATGGTTATACAGCTTGAATACCTTCATTTCAGAGTCAGATCATTTCTTGGAATGTGTAGGCTTACCTCAAATAAATGCTAATTTATCATGTTTTTAAAAGAAATATTTATAATGTATTTATATAATGTTTAAATTGTTTTTATACCAGTAAAAGCCTTTTTTAAAAATCAGCAACCAAGTCTCTGTGAGTTTCTGTCACCAACAACAGCACAAAATGTGACAATCACCTGGTGAAAGATAATTGATCACCTACTCCTACTGCATGCCAGGCAGGCACCATGCTAATTGTGTTGCATCCATCGTATTTAATCCCGCACTTGCACATCCTTTAATGGATGAGGGAGAGTAAGTGATTCTCCTAAGTCACCCAGCTGGAAAGTAAGGCATAGGCCCAGATTTGAAATCCAGGTCTACCTACCTTCAGGCCCCCTTCTCTTAACCTTACCGTTCCATTGCCTCCCAGGGAACTGAAAGAAAATCACAGAACATGTTCATATAAAGAATACATTTCAAGATATAATAAAAAACCTTTGAGATAATACAACCGCTTGATTAAGACAGCAGTGTGCTAGTTTCCCAATAACATGAAAGTTCTGCCTTCTTCCTCTGGGTTCCTCAAACCCTGCACGTACCTGTCTGTCATAGCACCTACCACTGTGTAACATATCTTTAAATGGATGGGTTACTCTTGCAGCCAGCAAATGGATTATTCAAGAAGGCATGCCCTATTATATATACTTTACATCATAAGGCCATAGGAACCAATAAACATTTTTTGAATGAAGGAACCATACATATATGATCAAATATAAGACACTTCAATTCTTGGGGCCTATATACTGTTTGGGCAGTGAGTGGGGAAATTATAAATACTGTGTATTTGTGAATTTTCATCTTAAGGGAAACAATAAGAATTAGAAACATTCTAAGAACTTCTAGAACAGTGCATAGTCAGTGCAGGTGTGTCTATCTCCATGTCCTTTCCCAACAGTAATATTCTTTTTTACTTTTCCCCCTCACCCTATCAACAGTGGTGGTGAGAGAGGCAATCTGGGTGACTACACTGGCCTCTCCACTCCACCTCAACACAATGTTGGGAATTTGGTAAAGATTTCCCCTTTTTAACCCCAGCAATATAAAATTCTGACTTCTAATAAAGACTTCCTCACTCTAACCACCATACACTTCTTCCCATACACTTCTCCAGGCAAGAAGTTCTGCTGAGCAAGGGAAAGCCCACAAAAGCCTGAAACTGAAAGAAACTATGCAAGAAAAGGGCCACATAACAAATAGACAAAAAACTCTGGGGAGGGAGGGCATGTATAGGAATGGGGGTGGGGTGGGGATTGGTAAGGTATGTACACATATAATACCTTAATAAAAAATGAGGGGGGGAAATTAAAAAATAAAAAAAGGAAAGAGCCACAAACTCTGACTTCTAGAAATCATGCATCACAAGTGGCTTCCCAACATTAGGGCCAAATTAAAGAACAAAGAGAAATGGTAGTTGACCAATGCATCCATTCTTCAAACAAAATGTACTGAGCATCATATATGTTAGGTAATGCTAGGGATACAGAAGTAAACAAGCTAGACCTGACCCCTGTCCTCATGTGGTTTATACTGTGGCATGGAAGACAGAAGACAGACATTGAACAAAGAATATAAATGTGATGAGGTTTTTCAAAAGAGAAATGTTCTTTGTACAGAGAACCTATTCTGAGGACATTAATAGCAGGGGAACCTTACTAAGACCAGGGAGGGAAGTCATGGAGCCTAATTGAAAAAGAGAGATTTGGATTGAGATGTGAAAAAGATGTAGCAGCCAAAGCCGGTTTGGCTCAGTGGTAGAGCGTCGGTCTGCGGACTGAAGGGTCCCGGGTTCGATTCCGGTCGGGGGCATGTACCTTGGTTGCGGGCACATCCCCGGTGGGGGGTGTGCAAGAGACAGCTGGTCGATGTTTCTCTCTCATCGACGTTTCTAGCTCTCTATCTCTCTCCCTTTCTCTCTGTTAAAAATCAATAAAATATATTATTAAAAAAAAGAAAAGAAAAGAAAAAGATGTAGCAGTTATCCAGGCCAAGATGGGTGGAAAGAGCATCCCAGACAAAGGAAATGGCATGTGCAAAGGGTTGAGGTGGTAAAAACTACATTATGTCCAGTGCATAAAGAACAAAAAGAAGGTTGGTTGAGAGGGGTGGAGAGGGAGGCTGAGACCCACAAATCATTGACAGCATCAGAAGCCATATTCAAAATTTTGAAATTTATTCCATATGTGGTGAGAAGGCATTGACAAGTTTTAAACAGTAGAATGACATATGAAATTTACATTTTAATATGATCACTCAAGTTGCAGTGTGAAAAAATGGATAGGAAAGGGGCTGGGGGAGAATGTCAGAGGAACATTCCAGAGGCCTTCATTGTAGTCCAGAGGAGAGATAACAATGTTTTGAATTAGGATGGTGGTAATGACTAGAGATGAGAAGTCAATGCCAGCCATCAATAAAAGATAGCTAGGAGCAAGTTCAGTAGGATTTGGTGATTGGTGTCTAAGATTCAGGAATTTCAGAGGACACCAATGCTTTGATAGCAGGAAGAAGTAGGGGTTGGGTGGAAGAGTAAAACAGTATTCCCTTATTCATTCATTGAAATATTCTCTGAACATCTGCAATATGCCAGATTCTCTACTGGGCCCTAGAGATACAACTGTGGATCAGAAAGTATAGGTCTCTGATCTGAAGGAGCTTACAGTCTGGGGGAAACAATTTAAAGAAATAACTACTATGCTGTACATTATGTGTGCTACTATGTTGTTGAATTGTGTCACCTAAAAAATTGAAGTACTAACACCCAGAACCTATGAATGTGACCTCACTTGGAAATAATCTTTGCAGATGTAATCAAGGTAAAATGAGGTCACATCTTATCTTGGGGGTGGGGTGTCCCAAGCAGAGAACACAGCATGTGTGAAGGTTCAGAGGAAGGAGAAATATCTGGGTGGGCCTTATAAGAAGAGAAGAGACAGGAAAGGAATCTGTGAAGATAAAAGCATGGATTGAAGAGACAAATTTATAAACCAAGGAACACCAATGATTGCAGACAACCACCACTTTGGTTATACTATGTAAATGATCCAAAAATCTATAAGAGAAAGCTGTAGGGAGGTAGCAGTCTGATTCCACTCCTGAAGGAAGGAAGAGGCAAGTAAGGATCCTTCTCTAGAATCTTCAGAAACAGCACAGCCCTTCCCACACCTTAATTTCAGATATCTAGGCTCCAGAACTGTAAGAAAAAAAATCTGTTCTTTTAGGCCACCTAGTTTGTAGTAATTTGTTATAGCAGCCACTGGAAACTATTACTGCTACTATGGCAAGACACAATAGGAAAAGTCTAATCAAAAATTGAGGCTTCAGAAAAAGCTTCCCAGAAGAAATTACATTTAAGCTTGTATCAAAAGAATGTATAGGATTGAGTCAATTAAAGAGATGGGAATTGGGGTTGGGTTTCCCAAGCAGAGAACATAGAACATGGGAAGGCTTAGAGGAAGGAGAGAACATGTTGGAAGAATTGAATGAATCTCAAATTGCTGAGGCACAAAGGTGGAAGTAGTAGAAATGAAGCAGTAGGCTCCAAGTTATGAAAGAGTCTAGAGAATGGGTTAAATAGGATCACCAATGTTTTGTAACAAAAGATAAAGAACAACTTCTTTAAATGTTTTTGATTTGGACTTTCTTTTGTCTATTCACTCTTTTTAAATGTTGGGGGATTTTTTCAGTTTCTTCTGGTGGCATGAGGGGTAAGGATCCAGAGGCAGTATCTAGAAGAGATTCTGTTTTCTAGCAGGTTCCAGCAAAGGGGCAGATGATACCAGAGAGGCGATAAAGGAGCACCTGTGGCAGATGTGACTTCTGGCTCTGTGATGTCTAGTAGTGAATTTTAATTTTCTTCTGTCTTACTCATTAAACTTCCAAGAGTTTTATTCACCAACATGGCAGCTTAGTTCCAGTCTAGCTGTGACAAATAAAGGGAGGCTCATATCCACTTTTGGGGGGAAATGGACACTGCAATATTGAAAACACATGAAGATTCAGAAAAGTGATGGAAGAGAAATCAAAGCTAAGTGTTTAAAGAGAGAAGCGATATGCAAAATCAAGACAATTTGGGGGAAATTTGAATTTCCTGTAGAAGGCTTGATATGGAGACACTGCTTATTATATTTGGATGCTAAAGGGAAGGATTACCTCCCAAAGTTAGGGGCCTGGGCACCTCAGTTACACTATGAAAATGACCCAAATATCTGCAAGAGAGAAAGCTGCAGGGAGGCAGAAGTCCAGATTCCACTCCTGATAAAACTTTCCAGTTTTTGGTGAGTTAAGAATGGGAAGGAAGAGATAAACCATCCTACATTCTCTAAGAAAAGACTAATAGTAAATAATGATAATAATAACATAACTACTGTATTTTTCCATGTATAAGATGCCTCCATGTATAAGACACCCCCCCTTTCCAACCTAAAGTTATGAAATCAATATTTTAAACATAAAACAGAACACATTTTTATTTAATAATTATCACAAGTCATGTTTACATACCAGTACATGATATTATGCATCATATCACTTTATTTAGCCTCTGTTGCATCACTGCTCTCCTCTTCATCACTATTAGTTCCAAACATATCAATTTCTTCAACTTCTACTGTATCACTGCTGTCTTCTGCGTCCCTGTCTATATATGTGAGATCATACTC